GCCGCCCCCGCCCCCGGGATGAAAGGGGGGCCCCCTGCCACTCCCGATCACCCTCCTTCACAAGTTTGTATTGCTGTTTTATTTCTACTTGAAGAAGAGTTGGTCTTCATTGTTGGGTGACGAGAAGAGACTTGCTTGCATGAGACTTTGCGTCCCTAAAGGACTCAAGGGAAAAGTGTCCCGAGCAGCCCTTAGGCCTGTTCCCGGCTGACGCTGACTCTCGCTGGCCACCCGAGCCACAGCGCAGCCCAGACTCCGGGTGCAGGTGACCCTGAGAGTAACCTGTGCCTGTGAACGCTTCGTAGTCGGGGTAACCAGGGAGCTTCAGCGGCAGGTGCAGATGAAGGTTTCTTGGATGTTTTTTATGGCGATTTTTATCTGGGGGAGTTAAAAGCCCAGAGCTGATGTTATGCCTAGAATTCGGGCTAGGAGATTGTCCAGGACAAAGGAGCCTCGTTCCTCTCTGAGGAGAGACGCTACCAGTTCTCGAGAAGAGACTCGGGTTTTACTGCAACTTCGCTACCAAACTGTTAAGGCCTGAAGGCGTTTCAGTTAGTTTGAAGTTCCCAGGAAACATCGTGCCCAGGAGTCGCAGGGCACTGATCGGAGCTGCTTTGGTGCCGACAGCGGGTGGCGCTCAGGTGGGATCAGGGACGTGGAAAACAGGCGGCAAGGCTGGGACACGGCGGCCAGCCAGGCTGTGCAGGCACCTGTGAGATGAGGCAGCAGCACTCATGGGCTGGCCCTTTCTGGCCACTGCTACCCACCTGGGATTTCACAGTAGGCTAAGCTGGCCTAAGCTGAGCTGGGCCTGGGTGAGCTGAGCTGAGCTGAGTTGGACTGTGCTGTCCCGGGGTGAGCCAAGCTGAGCTGAGCTGAGTTGGACTGTCCTGGGTCGAGGTGAGCCAAGCTGAGCTGAGCTGAGTTTAGCAGTGCTGGGCGGAGGTGAGCTGAGCTGAGCTGAGCTGAGTTGGACTATGCTGGGCCGGGGTGAGCTGAGCTAAGCTGAGCTGAGCTGAGTTAAGCAGTGCCAGGCGGGGGTGAGAGGAGCTGAGCTGAGCTGAGCTGAGCTGAGTTGGCTGAGTTGGACTGTGCTGGGTCCGGGTGAGCTGAGCTGGGCTGAGCTGAGCTGAGCTGAGCTGGGCTGGGCTGGGCTGGGCTGTCCTGGGCTATACTGAGCTGAGCTGGGCAGAGCTGAGATGGGTTAAGCAGTGCTGGCCCGGGGTGAGCTGATCTGAGCTGAGTTGGACTGTGCAGGGCCGAGGTGAGCCCAGCTGAGCTGAGCTGAGTTAAGCAGTGCCGGGCGGAGGTGAGAGCTGAGCTGAGCTGAGCTGAGCTCAGTCAGACTGTGCTGGGCCCGGGTGAGCTGAGCTGGGCTGAGCTGAGCTGAGCTGAGCTCAGTCAGACTGTGCTGGGCCCGGGTGAGCTGAGCTGGGCTGAGCTGAGCTGAGCTGAGCTCAGTCAGACTGTGCTGGGCCCGGGTGAGCTGAGCTGGGCTGAGCTGAGCTGAGCTGAGCTCAGTCAGACTGTGCTGGGCCCGGGTGAGCTGAGCTGGGCTGAGCTGGGTTGAGCTGAGCTGAGCTGTGCTGAGCTGGGCTGAGCTGGCCTGAGCTGGGCTGAGCTGAGCTGAGCTGAGCTGAGCTGAGCTGAGCTGAGCTGAGCTGAGCTGAGCTGAGCTGAGCTGAGCTGAGCTGAGCTGAGCTGAGCTGAGCTGAGCTGAGCTGAGCTGAGCTGAGCTGAGCTGAGCTGAGCTGAGCTGAGCTGAGCTGAGCTGAGCTGAGCTGAGCTGAGCTGAGCTGAGCTGAGCTGAGCTGAGCTGAGCTGAGCTGAGCTGAGCTGAGCTGAGCTGAGCTGAGCTGAGCTGAGCTGAGCTGAGCTGAGCTGAGCTGAGCTGAGCTGAGCTGAGCTGAGCTGAGCTGAGCTGAGCTGAGCTGAGCTGAGCTGAGCTGAGCTGAGCTGAGCTGAGCTGAGCTGAGCTGAGCTGAGCTGAGCTGAGCTGAGCTGAGCTGAGCTGAGCTGAGCTGAGCTGAGCTGAGCTGAGCTGAGCTGAGCTGAGCTGAGCTGAGCTGAGCTGAGCTGAGCTGAGCTGAGCTGAGCTGAGCTGAGCTGAGCTGAGCTGAGCTGAGCTGAGCTGAGCTGAGCTGAGCTGAGCTGAGCTGAGCTGAGCTGAGCTGAGCTGAGCTGAGCTGAGCTGAGCTGAGCTGAGCTGAGCTGAGCTGAGCTGAGCTGAGCTGAGCTGAGCTGAGCTGAGCTGAGCTGAGCTGAGCTGGGCTGGGCTGAGCTGGGCTGGGCAGAGCTGGCCTGAGCTTCCCTGAGCTGGGCGGACCTGGCCTGGGCTGTGTGGAGCTGAGCTGGGCTGAGCTGGGCGGAGCTGGCCTGAGCTGGACTGAGCTGGGCGGGGCTGGCCTGAGCTGGGCTAAGCTGGCCTGGGCTCTGTGGAGCTGAGCTGGGGTGGACTGAGTTGTGCTGTGTTTGGCTGGGCTGCCTTGAGCTGAGCTGGGCTGAGCTGGGCTGGGCAGAGCTGGCCTGAGCTTCCCTGAGCTGGGCAGACCTGGCCTGGGCTGTGTGGAGCTGAGGTGGGCTGTGCTGAGCTGGGTTGAGCTGGCCTAAGCTGGCCTGAACTGGGCTGAGCTGGCCTGTGCTCTTTGGAGCTGAGCTGGGGTGGGCTGAGTTGTGCTTGGGCTGTGTGGAGCTGAGCTGGGATGGACTGAGCTCTGCTGTGTTTGGCTGGGCTGCCTTGAGCTGGCCTGAGCTGGCCGGAGCTGGCCTGAGTTGGTCTGGGCTGGGCTCTAGCCTTGAGCTGGCCTGAGCTGGCCCGAGCTGGCCTGAGTTGGTCTGGGCTGGGCTCTTACCCACTGGCAGCTGCTCTCTGTGGCTCTAGGACTCCGTCCTGGTACAGACCTGGGCCCCGGCTCCCTGCACTCTCTCATGGGAAGCTCTGCATCCCTGGTGTGCCCAGGGGAGACACTGTGGGTTCTAGAGAGCAGAAGAGCCAGGCCCGGCTCCTGTGGCAGGCCCCCACTCTGCTTTCTGGGCATCCAAGGCTGTCTCCTTAAGCCTCCAGCTCTAAGCCAGACCCCAGGCCCCCAGGCCTCCCAGCACACTGGTATCCAGGCCTGATGGTCCTGGAAGCCTGAGGACGCTCAGCCCTGGAGGGCAGCCACCACGGGGTTGGGGCGGACCATGCAGAGCACACTGTCTCCGACCGTGGGCGCGAGGGGACAGCGTCTGACCTCCCTGTTCTTCGGTCCTCAGCAAACCCGTCGCCCCCACACGTGTACCCGCTGGTGTCCTGTGAGGACGCCCTGTCCGAGGGGAGCCCGGTGGCCCTGGGCTGCCTCGCGCGGGACTTCCTGCCCAGCTCCATCACCTTCTCCTGGAAGTACAAGAACACCTCCGACGTCAGCAACGTCAAGACCTTCCCACCGGTGCTGAGAGAGGGCACGTACACGGCCACCTCGCAGGTGCTGCTGGCCTCGGCGGACGCCCTCCAGGGAGCAGACGACTACCTGGTGTGCAAAGTCCAGTACCCCAGCGGCAACACGGACGTGAACGTGTCCATTCCACGTGAGCACAGGCCATGTGGGCGGGGGGCGCCTGGGAAGGGGCGGGCAGGGCCGCTGACACCTCGTCCCCTCACTCCAGCCTCCGTGGAGCTGCCCCCCACGGTCAGCGTGTTCGTCCCGCCCCGCGATGCCTTCTCCGGCTCCGGCCAGCGCAAGTCCAAGCTCATCTGCCAGGCCACGGGTTTCAGCCCCAGGAAGGTCTCCGTGTCCTGGCTGCGTGAGGGCAAGGTGGTGCAGGCTGACAGCCCCGCTGACCGGGTGGAGGCTGAGGCCCAGGGCTCCGGGCCGCAGACCTTCAGGGTCAGCAGCTCTCTGACCGTCACCGAGAACGACTGGCTCAGCCAGACGGTGTTCACCTGCCGCGTGGATCACAGAGGGAAGGCCTACCAGAAGAGCGTGTCCTCCGTGTGCAGCACAAGTGAGTGCCCTCCGGCCCAGGGCGGCCCCCACCCACGGGAGTCCGGCCAGGTCTGGCCAAGGAGGGGAGAGAGGCAGGGGGCCGGGGCCCAGCGCCCAGCAGCCCCCGCGGCAGGACCCCTGGGCTCAGCCACGGGGACTGCGCTCAGTGAGGGGAGGCTGCTCCGCCAAGGGCAGTCTGACAGCCCCACACCCACCCTCTCTCCACTCCAGACCTGCCCTTGACCATCCGCCTGTTCGCCATCGCCCCCTCCTTTGCCGACACCTTCCTCACCAAGTCAGCCAAGCTGTCCTGCCGGGTCACCAACCTGGTCAGCAACGACAGCCTGAATATCTCCTGGACCCGCCAGAACGGCGAGCCTCTGAGCACCCACACGGTCTCCGAGAGCCTCCCCAATGACACCGTCAGCGCCCTGGGGGAGACCAGCGTCTGCGTGGACGACTGGGAGTCTGGGGAGACGTTCACGTGTACCGTCACCCACCCGGACCTGCCCTCGCCGCTCAAGCAGTCCATCGCCAAGCCCAAGAGTAGGCGGAGCCGCTGCCCTCTCCCCGTTCCCCGTTCCCCGCTCCCAGGGACCCTCCCACAGGCCTCGGGGTGGGAGGCCCAGGGTGCGTGGTGGAGAGTCTGTCCATCCGTCCATCCGTCGGCCTGGGTGACTGAGGCGAAGGGGCTGCCCGCTCCAGCCGCCCCTCCCGGGCCTTCCCTGCGCTCACCACCCTCCTTCTGCCCC